CACTGTATGCCATGCCTGTTGTTTTTATTAATGATAGTATGAAAAAGTTTCAGTTTTGACTATGAAATATTTTGTAAGTTTTGTGGAAAGAGATTAATAATGACTAGACTCAGTTTTATCTATTGTTTCACAAACGTTGGTCAGAAACATCTCAGTTCGCTTGCATTGAAACGTGAATGAGTAGGTAAAATAATATGTACAAAGCAAAATTCACAAACTCTGGCACATAACATAACAAGCACAAACTTAGTGTACCAATGTTTCATTTGGTTCTATTGGAATATATTTAATCACGCAGACTCAAATATTTCAAAAGTACACAGTTTTCTGAATATATTCTTAATATTATTTACGTACAAGGCATAGTTATAATGCATGGAAAAGCAGGCTGTACAAGATGCTAATTTTAATTAATTTGCTTGGTCAGTGATCATATGGTGTTTTGATCTATTTTGGACACTAGTATGGGTACCTAACTTTGTAGTATTATCCTTTTCTTTTCTATCTGACCCAAGACTGTATAATAACAGATGGTAGTGGAGGGAATGTGGCGAGATTCCAGCATAGATGTGGACCATCATCATGACAATGACACTCTTAGAAAGTGCAGCTAAGATTTGTAGGTAAAACATGAGACCCTAGAATACCTATGTCGACCTAGCTGTTCACAGGTAATAGGAATCGTGTTTTACAGACAGGATACATGTGAATGCATGTAAGTCTGTTGACACAGTGCTTGCCCACTTACCATAAGTTTGGCACTCTGCCTCTAAGAGAATTTTAGTACAGAATATTTCTGCAACTATGCTGTTACAGTTTTAACACAAAACTTTCGACTACATTTTTCTGACCAATTTGAGTTAATTTGACCCGAAAATTTTCAATTTTGCTTTTACTATTTAAGGTTAAATTCATTATCCTACTGGCTATCATTGTTTTTAACTAGACAGTGTGTAAGAAGGGCTCTTTGACATTGCTGTAAAGATCCAACAAAATAGTAGGACAATGGGTGGAAATTTTGGTGATTTCTTTAGTGATTTCATTAAAATTCTGGAATACCCTGCCCTTCCAACAACTTCAGGGAATTACTTCGTCTTTGCTTTAGAGGAGCCTATAGATAAAGACATATTGCTTGAAGGATCATCTGGCATGCAAGCTTCGCCTGAGGCCATTGATAGGGTAGCCTTAAAATATATAAAGCCAGTGAAATCAAATACAATCTTAGTTCACTGCGGCAGTTGAGAGAAATGAGGGTTCAGTTAAACCCTTGAAGTTTACTTACCAACCATTTAGCTGGTGAGTCCTATGCTAGATCCAGTGCTTCTGGAGATGAAATCTAAGTCTAAGATGAAGACTACAGCGAAATTAGAGTGTTGGGATATCATCTACAACTCCCCCATCAGAGGATAATTTGTTCAGAAGAATAAGTAACTCCTATGCAGTTGCACCTCCAATAAGACTATTATGTCCTTCATTCTGACAATATCTTCCCAGAGCTTCAGTCTTCTAGGCCAATTGACTGTCAACACCACCCTAGAAGCAACAGTGTAGATAGAAGTAGTGGCAGCTAAGATCAGTGCCTGGACATTCACTTCATCTCTCAAACCTCTTAAAATCAAGGAACTGCAGACAGGAAAGTTGGAACTACCACCAGACTCACATTAAAACATATTACGATTATAAAATGTCACAGCCAAGAGCAGGCAACCAGGTGGAAGAAAGCCTGGACATTATATAATCACAAAGAGGACCATCTGCTGAAACATAAAGAGCTACCAATACAGCTGAAGAAAGAGGTGTGCAAAAGCCAGAGATATCATCGGCCACACCATCATGGTGCATCATAAATCTACGGCTACTTTGGAAGACCTGCTTTATTGGTTCCTATTGGTAAGCAGCTACTCCACCTAACTTTTATATACGTTGTAAGGATTTATCTATATATTAGTTTAATTTAATTATGCAATTAGTTCTTATATATGCGTGTATGTTCTTTAAAACGGTCTCATTTTTGGGGATATATGTGTACGTTCTTGCGATCAGCATTAACGATTGTATTTAGTTTGTATACATGCATATTTATAATAATTTATTTATTGGATTTTATTCTTGTACTCTATATGTAAAGTTTTTATCATTTTTTTAAGCGATTCCCCCTGACTATATATATGTAGTTATGTATATTTGGTTATGTTTAATATGTACTAAAGGATTTGTTATATTGTGTTTTAATTTTTCATAGAGTTTGTTTTTATTTTATGGTTTGTTGTTTTTCAAGGATATAATTGCTATGCGATTTTCAAAACGTTTGTTTCTTGTTTTAATTTGGATACAGCGTAAAAGACCAATTTGTTTGTTTGTTTTAATTTCGGACAAAGCTACACAAGAGCTATCTGCGCTAGCCGTCGCTAATTTAGCAGTGTAAGACTAGAGGGAAGGCAGCTACTCATCATTACCTACCGCCAACTCTTGGGCTACTCTTTTACCAACGAATAGTGGTATCGGCCATCACATTATAATTCCCCCCCACGGCTGAAAGGGCGAGCATGTTTGGTGGGTCGTGGATTTGAGCCCGTGACCCTCAGATTGCGAGTCGAGTGCTCTAACCACCTGGCCATGCCGGGCAAAAGACCAGTTTTAAATTTTAGTGTGTGAGAGTTAAAGTAAATGTGTTTCTTTATTTGATTATGCTCTTGGTTATCAAAGAAAGTTTTTTATATGTGTGTGGTAAGGTTGTTTTTTATGGTGCCATCATGTTTTGTTTCTAGAGGGTTACATTTGTATGAATAAATACATTAAAATAATTTTGTTTTTATCAATGTTCAAGGGTATTTTAAAATATTTTGTTGGATGCATATTGTTAGATTGTTAGCTATCCCCTCCTAAAGAGGAAGTAAATGATCTTTGTGTTAAATTGATTGTTTGTTGTTGTCTCTATTTTATGTTAGTTATTCTCTCCTAAAGGTGATAGGAGTTCTTGGTCAAAAGACTGTATTTTAATTTGTGACTTTTATTATTGCATTGTAAAGTGGGTTTTATTTTTGCCTTTGTGCTTGATTATATGGTTGGGCAACTATTTTTACTGTGGCAAAGTCTATTTACTTCGATTTCTTAATTAATACTGAGTAAATTGTGATAAATTTTGTGATTGTTTTGGATTTAGGGATAGTTGAGTCAGCTTAGAAATAATTGGTGGATGAAAACGTGGTACAGGATGGTAACATATATTTCTGATACCCTTAATTAATATGTAAATTGTTTCAGAATTTCTGTTTTCTCTAAATTCAATGTGAATGTAGAAAGTCACTCAATTAAAGAATTCAACCACTCATTGCTTTTACTGTGCACAGAGCCGTGGTCATCCTCATTGGCTATTAAGCATGGTTTCTAGTAGGAAAGATGGCTATCACTTCATTCATAATTTTGCAAAATAGACAACTGTATTTTCTGTCGGAAAATTGGGTAATGACCTAGGCTTCTATGTCTCTTTTTCCCAAGCTTGAGTGTTCTGCAGTCACGTGAGTGAGGCGTGGACTGTGAGCAGCCTCACTATGTGTATGTAAAGTTTGCTTTGTAATTAATATCACAGGTCTGCAACGGTTATATTGTCTTTTACATGCTCTACAATAATTCCTGTACACTGAATCCGAAAATGATATCCATTTTTCTCCATCGTGTGTAGACATTTCACAAAACGTCATAACGCAAATACATAATAGAAAGACCACAACACGTAGTTTTGAGACTAAAAGACGTAGATTTCACCAAAAAAAATCAGGATAAATGAGTATGCGTATTCAATTGACATAAATTTTCTTCCCTTTTTTTCAGTTTGTTTGTATTTTTGTTAACAAACACGATAATAAAATTTTTCTCTGTGGTAACTGAAATAATAATTTGTTCTAAGTAAGGGTTTTTTCTTCCGATTTATAAATAGAAAAAAATAATAATTTTATTTTCGAAATCAGCGTAGCTGAATTATGGAAAATCTGTTCTTAAAACCAAAACAACTTTTATGAAGTTCAAATTGGCAGGCCTGTATATTTGAAGATCAGGCCATCCGCTATTATGCAAACTTTCGCATATTTCTAAACTGATATTCGATTTCTATCCAGGTTATATATAGCTTTTATATTTCAGACTTTCTAACATTTTAACAATGTTTAACATTATAACGATTTCCGTCGAGCCTTCTAGAATTTCTTAACTTAAGACTATTTATTTTTAACTTTTAACCTTTCTTTTCCACATATGGGGCTCATACTAAACTGGTAAGACAAAGCTAATTAACATTTTCTTGCACACACACACACACACACTCTCTCTCTCTCCAGTTCCATACACACACAACAAACAATTGCTCATATTTTGTGGTTGTATTTTGTTAGTAAATGTTAGATTTTATGTGTTTTTTACTCTCTCTTTCTTTTCAATTAACTCAGTTGAGGCCAGAGGATAACAGACCAATGCTTTCTAATATTGGCCCGGCATGGCCAGGCGGTTAGGGCGCTCGACGCGCAATCTGCGAGTCACGGGTTCGAATCCCCGTCCCACCAAACATGCTCTCTCTTTCAGCCATGAGAGCGTTATAATATGACGGTCAATCCCACTATTTGTTGGTAAAAGAATAGCCCAAGAGTTGGCGGTGGGTTGTGATGACTAGCTGCCTTCCCTCTAGTCTTACACTGCTAAATTAGGGACGGCTAGCGCAGATAGCCCTCGTGTAGCTTTGCGCAAAAATTCAAAACAAACCAAAAACGGTGATTATATTTTAATAAATGTCAAATTCACTATATCAAAGAGAGTTTTCTTGATGCAAAGCTATACAATGGGTTGTATGCATTCTGCAATGAGCCACAGATTTTAATATATAAATCCGAAAATTTACCGCTGACTCAATGGGGGACCATTATATTACTATTTGAAAATTTCGAATGTTAATTTTACCATTCATCAGAGGGCGTAGAAAAATAGCTCGTGTTTTGAGAAACTCAGTGCGTTCGCGTTGCATCATGGGTATTGATATGTAAAGTTTGTTATGGGTACAACCAATATTATTTTATATTTTCAGACGCATTGGCTTATTTGAAAGTTTGAGTGATCTGTCTTTGTGGATTGATTCCAAATGGATCGAGGCTCAAGTGAGATTGTTCTTATAGCTGGGAATTCCCATCCTGATCTTGCCCAAAAAATTGCAAGGTAGGAAGGAATGTGATGTATTACTCTTAATAGTATTATTATTAATTAATAAGTGTAGTGTTTTAATCGTAATGTATCGGTATCACAATTACTCGGTACGTCACGAGACCATGGCGTAATTGATTCGGAGTGAACTTTTAATTAACATGCATTTGTATATATTGTAACTGAGTGAATTCGAACTTATAATTAACTTGCAAGTTCAAATTCACTCAATTACAATATGTAAAAATGCAGAGGACTAAATTTCCTATTAAATATAAAAATGAATCACCAGACTGAGTAGTCGTTAAACTTAACGTCTGAAGTTAAAATTAGACTTTAAATTAAAAGTTAAATTTTTTTCCTTGTTTTAATTTTATTGAGGCATGTACTGTACTCATATTGTTAACCAAATTAAATGATTTATGACTTAAATTGTTATATTTTAAAAATTCAAATATGTTTTTTGCTCAAAACTTCAATTTTAAAGTTGTGTTAGAAGTATTTTTTGAATGTTTAAATAATCATAAGTATTTCTGGAAGTTTATGTTCATGACAATTTTTTTTCGAATTTTATTTAACTATGTTTATACCCATAATAATAATGATAATAAAAATACAATACATGTAACTTACTGAGCATTAAATTATATCTGTTGTGTTAACAATTATGTGCTATATTTTTGATAGACTGATTAGACCATTTAAAAAAAAAAGGAAAGACAATAAGAGGCCTTTCACTTTCAGTCTGCTCATCAATCCCACCCCACAAAAAAAAAGAAAAAAAGAAATGCAACTAAACAGAACTGTATATAATGTGTATATTTAAACTTAATGCAGCACACTGTTCAAGGAAGTCAACTATGTGACCCACATCACATCATCAGGCAAACCTTTCTACAAGTTTATAACTGACTGAAAAACGAAATTAAAAAACATAGCTGTATCTAGGCCTCCTTAGCTTAAACAAAATGTCTTATTAATATTATTAATTTTTGTAAATAACGACCCCATGAAAAGAAATGTTTACCAGGGAGGCAAAGTCTAAATCAAGAGATAATGGACACATCTTCAAAGGTATGATAAATTCCTCAAAGACAAATGGGATCGTTTTACAGGGGAGACAAGCCTCTTCCCTGCAGATATCTATGACCAACCCTATTCAACCTGTCCGGCAGATGTCCAAAATGGAGGCTCTCCTTATTCCTGTACAGTACTGAACACCTGAGTTAGGCATGCTCCCAGTCCCAATTTTTGAGCTTTTTAAGGTATGATAAATTCCTCAAAGACAAATGGGATCGTTTTACAGGGGAGGCAAGCCTCTTCCCTGCAGATATCTATGACCAACCCTATTCAACCTGTCCAGCAGATGTCCAAAATGGAGGTTCTCCTTATTCCTGTACAATACTGAACACCTGAGTTAGGCATGCTCCCAGTCCCAATTTTTGAGCTTCTTAAGGATTTTTGTTTTATTAACCTATCTCTCTACTTCCTATGACATGTTACTATCCTTCCTTTGCTAAGAGGACCAAACTGCACACAGTATTTCCAATGAGACTTGACCAGTCTTAATCAAAATTACAACATTGTATTTAAATGTAAAATTCCTGTAAATTCATATAGTGGAACTTATAAATGAAACAAATACTATTTGCTTATTCTACTACACCTATATTTTTCTACACTCTTACTTCTCTCACATAAAAAGTGGGTCCTTTTCAAATGTCCATACTAAGGTACATATGTATAACTTTATAATGGTTGGAGATGGCTTAAATGGGGAATGAAAAAACTGTAATACAAGTTTAACATAATAGCAAATGTACAACGTTTCAACAAGGTTTGTCATTGTCAGGTACCTGATGATGACAAAACCTTGTACATTTGCTGTTATATTAAACTTATATTAAAGTTTTTCTTCATTACCCATTCAAGCTGTCTACAACCATTATTAGTCTCAAAGTGGGTTCCTTGTCATCGAATATGTATAACTTTACTCTTCTCAGTATTAAAACTAACTTTTCATTTTGTAACCCTATAAGTTTATCTAAGGCTGTTAAGGTCCTTTTGAATAAAAGTAATTTATAAAACATCTTGCAGGATTTTAGTGTTATTTGCATATTTTTAAATAATTCTGTACAGTAACTATAATTCATTGTAGTCTCACTTACATTTATAGTTCCAAGAATAGCCTAGAAGCAATAGCCATTTGTTTCAGTTTTGGTTTATTAGGAGAGTTACTTTGACCTGCAGATCCATTGTTGTGTTCATGACTGTATTGAAGAGCATTCGACAAAGATAGATCCAGCATAATGTGTACCATTCTATTACAGAATGTATCGAGCCAGTGAGGAAAGAAAATTTTGAAATAGTGGGACCTGCAAAAACTGAACTAAAGCTTCAGATCAAAGAAACTGTAATAATAAACATGTTAGAATCACATGGCTTGTACTTCTAGACAATGTTTGGAATTATGACTTAGAGTGATACTGTTCAAAAAGTTATTCAAATCATTAGTATAAATGATAAATAACACTTCTCCAAACAAACCCATAAGAAACTATTAGTCACTTTCAACAAACTGAAATGTCTGTTCATCATTCTTTACTTTGTACCTTGAAGCTAATTTTCACTTCTTAACTGTTTCATGAATTTCATTAATATTCAACTTGTTTACTATTATCTTTTGATATTCCTTATCAATCACATTATAACAATGCAAAACATTGACCAGAATTCTCTCATCTAAAAAAAGGATAGAAGCTCCATCATAAAACCCCACGGAGATGATAACTTGGTAAGGCAAGAAAACCTTTTTCTAAAAACTGTGCTGGAAATTCTTAATTATATTTTATTTTATGTTAAGAAGAATGGAAGAAGTGATATTATTGAAGTTGTCAAGATTATCCAGGGGATTGTTCAAATAAAGGCCTCTAATTTTTTTGTGCTGTACTCTGAGGACAATAGGCTCTTGTTGACCAGTTTTATTTTTCTATACTTAAGGGGATGAGCAGGGATAGCCTTCAAGGACCAACTTGTCATTGTTTTCCTTATGCTACATTAAATGGAGTAAGGGAACATTATTTTTAGATGCTATTGTAATAAAAATCATATTTTGGAAAAACTAAAAAATATTACTTCATCACAACTCCATTAAGTGGAGCAGGTGGCATCTTGCTAAGGTCCGACTAGATTAGGAGTTAGTTAGTATTCTTTCATCCTGGCAAGGCATGTTAATGATAATCCAAAACAACATCCAGCAGCCAAGAACACTGTGGAATGTAACAATAACATTTGTTTTTACACATCGGGATGGTGCACAAAATCGTGTCAAGTCATCCCACCTGAGACCGTTCCATTTCTAAGAATGCAAACATCTCTGGACCTCTGTTAGAAGATGACCCAAGATCATGTGCAGTGGTCAAGGGTTTGATGGGATGTGATGATGAAGTGTGGTATCACATGTTGTATCCTATCAGCAGCACAGGTGGTAGCCGGTTCCTGTCAGCACCACCATGTAACTATGGAGGTGAGGTAAAACAGGTAAACCCATCAATGTTTAATGGAATGTAAAAAAAGGGGACTTGGATAGTTTCTTCAAAAGCTTAAACCAAGTTGTTACTAGAGTGGATCGACTCGGGGATAGCTGCCTGGTCTTGAAACCCATATGAATTCTCTTTGTCCTGTGCAGATGTTTCGTAGGTTCCTCACAACACCTGAAGCTAGTATACTCAACCTGTAAACAAGGAAACTGGCCAATTTGGTAAACAGACATGATGCACAATAACCTTGAATTAAGATTTTATGTTTCCTTTTTTTATCAAAGTTCAAACTTATGGTCTGCAGTACATATCCAGAACCTGAATATTGCAGATGCTTTTAAACTTATCTATTGGATGTGAGTATATACCTATTTGAAAACAAAAAAAGAAGGAACACCCAGGAAATCGCATGTTAATGAGCCTGGTTTTTTGTTGTTTGTAAGCTACTGGAATTCATTGTCAAGGATCATTTGGAAAAGCATCAGTAGTTGTTTTTTTTAAGATAAAACTATAATTTGTTATATTCTCTACCCTAACTTTCACTGTTACTAAATCATCAATGTAGAATAAAACAAAGATTTGAAAAATATGAAATAAAGTGGATATTGTGTTTCCTATGTGCTGGCTATGTTATTGATTAAAACTTACTGTTTCAAGTAAAATGAAAATTTAAAATAATACCCTTTTTTTATGAATGCATCATTTGTTATCACATATTCAATTAATAATAATTACAGTTTCAACTGTTAACCTTCTCACATCAATTTTACTTTGATTTAATGCCTAGTTCTACCACATAGGCTGTTTATTCTTCCATAAAAGCCAACACATCACAGCAGGAATATACTTTTATGACATCTGGGGTCACGTGACGCTAGTATCACGCCACAAGCTTCTCGAAAGTTCACGTCCCTTCCTAAACATGACAGGAGGGCAATGTGTAATTGAACTGCAGAGAGAGAATATTGTTGAGCACGTGAGACGTTCGTTGTAAACTATAGCGTTTGTTATAGCGCGACTGTTGAAATTAAGTGCATCGCAAAGTTGTATTCAGAAAGAATAAACCAGTTTTATTTAGGAAAGAACTTGTTTCGGTAAAGTTCCTATCGGAAAATTAACTAACGAACGGAGATGTAACAAATTGGTGTCAGTAGTGGGATAGAAAAGAAAAAAAAAGAAGATGGAAACGAGAGGTGGAAAATCAAACTACAGCTTAGCAGATTTGATGGCAGGAATACAAGAACAG